GAAACAAAAATGTGGGGACGGTCGTCCTATTTGTATTTTTTTGAATTAATAAAATAGACTATTGTCTTGACCTGAGTGATGTCATTATGTGAGTAAAAGGCACGAAGCTCACTGTCACGTTTTCGTTTAAAAGCTTGTTTTTTTTTTATAACAAATTAAAATAATAATAATATTTCGTTTTTAATTTGCAAATTACGAATTCACTTTTTCAAAATACTTCCACACAAAACCACGTGTTATGATTCGTTTTTTTAAAGACCTTCTGGAACCACCGCTTAAATCCTTGGAAATTGAAGCCAATGAAGTATTTGACCTTGTATTGGAAGTGTTTATTCGTTCACATGTATAATTATCATCAACAACACCAACAATATTGTCACCATCATCATATTGATGATATTGATACTCTTCCGCGTAGAAATTTTCCATTTTGAATGATAAAATACAAAAATCATATTAGTCAGACAATAATAATATTAGCCATAGTATTAATATTAGTATTAGTATTAGTATTAGTATTAGTATTAGTAGTTGACTATTAGTTGTTTAAAAAAAAAGTTTAGTTGACTAAAATAGCTGACTAATTAGTCGATTATTTTAGTCGATTCCAACCTCTATGTGACATTGCTACATGTGACTCTAATTGATAATAGTGTTCCATGTCGCAATCCAAAAAAGGAAACCAAAGTGGTCGCAAAGGTCAACCAGGTGTCGCAAACCATTTTTATATGTCGCAAATATGGTTGCAACCATCACCAAGAATTGCGACCAGCATCTATAATTGATGAAAATATGCTTGCCCCAGGTCAGGTCTATGTGGCGATGAGCAGAGCTCCTTCTTGGGACCAGTTGGATATCCTTTCATTTGATTTTGATTGCCTGAAGGTGGATAAAGATGTTGTGACTGAATACAGAAGATTAAATCTTTACACCAAAACGGTCTAAAAAATATTATTAATTAATATTATTAACAAATGAATTAATTGATTTAAAAAAAAAAAAATGATATAACACGTACTCACTTTGCATCCGAAATTTTAATCTTGTTATTATTACAATGGGCGTCCTCAGAAATTAAAAATTTGATTTGATTAAGATTAGATTAACTAATCTGCCCTCAGAAATTTGATGATCAAAATTTACTCTTTATTTATTTTTAATATTCATATTCAAATAGGATATAGGATTAATTAATAACCCTATTTAAATTTAAAATTTGATTTATAAATCTTAGAGGATAAGATTTATTTTACTATTACAGCTATTACAGTATTAAAAAATAAATCTTTAAATAAATTTTGTCGTGTAACTAGTATAAATTTAGAAACTATCTTCAGAAATTCAAAATTTTGATTAGTTAATAATGTTGCACGCGCCCGTTCAATTTTACTGGTTGGGTATGCTATTACAATCATGTGCCATATTTTCTTATTTTTATATTGTATTGTTTTAAAGTTTCTTCAATAAAAAATTTTTTTTAAAAAATAATTGTATCACTTATATATATATGTATACAAAGAATTTAAAAATGTGGTATGCGAAAAAGTATGATCCACTTCAAGGTAAACTAATAACGATCATACCCGTACTAAAACTTCAATCAACTATATAATAAAGAAGTACTTTTTATATATTTAGCTGGAAGTATTGATGGAACTGATTCTGTACCGCACGATCATGGAATTATAAGAGCTCAGTTATCAAATTGTAATTAATATTATCAGCAGGTTTTTTTATACACACTACATGATGTGACTCAACCAACTAATAATATATTTTAGATCTTCCACCCAGAGATAATAATGATATTACTAGTGATCCATATAAAACTTTGTTTGTTGGAAGATTAAATCCAATTACTACAGAAGGTAAAGAAGAAAGAAAATCTTTGGATTTTATTATTATTATTTTTTCAATCAGTTGAATACCGTTAAATTATTTATTATTTAGGAACATTAAGACATCTTTTTGAGAAATTTGGATCTATAAAAAAAGTTAAACTAGTATGCAACCTAGGTAGTTATATATATATATATGCTATTCAATAAGATTAGATGTTTAGATATGATGGATTATTTGAAAGAATGCAAATTCTTAAATGCTTTTTTAACAAAATAAATCAGTGACAGGAGATCCACGTGGATATGCTTTTATTGAATTTGATCATGAAAAAGCTTGTGAGGATGCCTACAAAGTAATAATGACTTTAATATCAACATCACCATCATCTTTATGAAACATATTTCTTATTTATTTATTTATAGAATTCATATAAATTGACGATCGATGATCGTATGGTTTTAGTTGATTATGAAAGAAGTAGAGTAATGAAAGGATGGATACCTAGACGTTTAGGTGGCGGATTCGGCGGTAGAAAAGAATCTGGCCAACTTAGATTTGGAGCAATTGACAGACCGTTTAAAAGGCCATTGTAAGCTTTATCTTTTTTTTAAAAAAAAAATTTTTTTTTTAATTGTACAATAATATTAATTCACTTGGATATTTTCAAGACATGTTGTAGGAAATCAAAATATGCCTGAAATCCTTCCTGATCAGAAACATGAAGACTGTTGGCGCAGACAAGATAAACAGAGATCTAAAAATGATCATTATAGAAATGATAGAAAAAAACCAGATGATAGGCATTCATATAGCCATGATAGGAATGATGTTGGTGATGGAAATAGTAGTAGTAGATATAATTCATCAGATTCGTATTCTAAATCAAGAAAAAGGCCGAAAAATCATCATCATAATCATCATAATCATCATAATCATCATAATCATCATAATCACCATAATTACCATAATCACCATAATCGTTAAATTTTTTTGGTATTAATTTATGAAATTATTTTACATGATTTTTATTTATAAAGTTAGATAAAAAATAATTAAAAATAGAAATTTGCAAAGATGAAGAAGATTAGCAAGAAAATTAATAAATTAATTAATATTATTAAAAAGCTGTACAAACATGCTAAATATTAACATATTAATATATTAATATATTAATTTTTCATATATGTATATACAGATGAAAAAACTACTATCATAATAAAATTAAAATAAAACAATAATTAAATATTTTTAAAAAAAGAAAATGGTTTTCAATCACCCTTCACAATAAATCGCCCATACTTCATCTTCATCATCATCTATTTTCTCCTCCATAAAACTTTCAACATTTTCATAAATGATTGCTTCATCGTCATCTATTTTCTCCTCCACCTCCACAAAACTTTTAACATTTTCATAAATGATTGGTAACCAGTGAGAAATTGCTTCAAAAACATAATTAAAAGTTTCTTGAGATACCTCAGCAATCTTGTTAACAATTTCTTTAACATGTTTCGCCACTACATGATATTCCTCAACTGCTCGATTCATGACCTGATTCATTCGTTTATAAATTGTATCAATAGCAAGACTGTCACTGCCATCTTTGTCAATAAATCCAAAATATTCATTTTTCAAAAATTCGCCATAATCTTCATAATTATCATTGGTTATGAACACTTCTTTCTCTTCTTCATGAGCTACATTTATTGGAAAATAACTGAATGCCTTCATGATGGTACCATTTCTATCAATGATTTCAATCAATAAATCTTCATTAATTCCAACAATTTCCTTATAATCAAGATCAAAGTAATATTGATTCTCATCAATCATATCGACATTTTTCTTGATCGATGTCTCATTACCATAATGCAAAATAACCTCAAATCCTTCGTAATTAGCGTAATTTGCATTTATAATATCAAATAAAAATCTATTATTTGACATCTGCCAAACTTCAACATATTCTGAAGATCCTCTATAAGAAACATGATTATTATTATGATTATAACCAAAATATTGTTTACCAAAAACCAAATCATATAATTTATCAACAGAAGTATCATTGTTCTCAATATTATTGTTGTCCGATTCAAAGTTCAACTGAGAAAGACTTGTCAAAATAAAAAGTGTAAAATAAGCTATAAACATAACTACAGTTGCTTTAATAATAAACTTTTCTTTTGTTTTAAGGAAACCCTCACGATCCGCCGAGTCATTTTTTGATTGGTACTTTTGTTTTAATTTGATTGCCTGAGATCTTAGGATTTGCATATCATAATAAACACATTCATCGTCCAATTTTGAGAACTCTTTGTCAAGCATTACTTGTGTTGTAGAAACGTCACTGGCTAAACCTTTATCATTCACAATATCATCGTTCCATATAAAGAGTCCGATTTTTTTATATAGAAAATATTTCAATAGTTTTTTACGATCTCCTTCCACTACACACTCTAGACCAGTTTCTGGATCGACTGAACAGATAACGGGAAATAAAGTCACGTATTTGTGTAGCTCCAGCATAATTGGAATATGTACAGAAGGTATTTTTGAAAACTTTGATGGTAAAAAGATTACACATAGATCAATCCAACGACGATTAATTCTCTTACAAGTAGTAGTAGATTTCATCTTTCGTTTCCGGTCATTGCCATCGCCAGATTTGACCTTTAAATAATTTTTGAGTAAATTATCTTTGGCATCTGATAAAGGTTTGTTGGTAAGGTCAAGTACGCATAGTGAGACTTTAGTGTCGATGTGATAATCATTTCCTTGTGGATATAGGATATGACGTTTTTCCTTGACATCGGATTCTTCGTCTTCCACCTCTTCTTCATTATGCGAAAAATATTTGCCAAGACTTGCTGATAATTTTGAGAAAATATTGTCTTTACAATGTTTATTTACACTCTCACCGAGATATGCAACATGAAATGATGAAAGAGAGATCTGTTCACGATTTCCATATACTTGTTGATCTATCCAAGTTTTTCCTTCGTCATGACCTATAAACGATGATGATAACAATTCACTAGAATCTGTTGGTGTTGATGAATGTGTCGAGTATGAGTCGTAGCTTGATAAGTCTGACAAATTATCTTTATATTAAAACAATAAATGACAAACAAATAAATAAACCAATGTAATAAATGAGTATATATATATATATATATATGAAGCCAAAGGGAGTTTCTACTTACTAATTGGCAAGTATTCAGTACTACTATTATTAGGATCTTCATAATTGCCTTGGAAATGATTAATGATTTCATAATTACCTTGGAAATGATTAATGATTTCATAATTGCTGTCCAATTCTTGTCTTGAGCTAGAAGATTCTGTTTTGTTAGAATTCATTTTGGAGAAATATAAAAGATTGAAATTTTACTGATTTTACTGGCAATAATTATTATCAAAAAAACATATATTAATATAATATATTAATATATGATTTAATTTTGATAATGCAAGTCTTATTATGATCATCAAAATAAGAAATTTCAGGGATAAAAAAATTCCAACTGGGGTGTACCAGATGACAAAGAATTTTACTATCAAACAACAAACTTTATTTATTAATGCTAATAAAATTGTTGATTAATAGAATAGTTATTAATGTGATAACATATTAATATGTATTTTAATAGTTGCTGCAGCGGATTATGATTTTTAAAATTTGTTTCACTATTACATAAATAAATTCGTGAGATTAGTAATTTTGGCAATACAAATACAAATAACAAAATAATAAAACGGATTTTAAATGAAGTTTTCCTATTTATTATTACTATTACTATTATTATTACTATATATATATTATTACTATATATATATATTATTATTATGTGTCACACATGATAGGACTTCGGATGAACTCCGATCTAAAGCTAATCTTGCCTCCACTTTAAGAACTACTTGTGGTAATACATGGTCATCCATCATCTTTAGTGTTATTTAAAAATAACTTTGTTACACTTTTCCATATTACATGTAACCTCAAAATGCAGATACTTTTACACCCGGTTGCACAGCCATATCTCATGCTCTAATTGGCAGAACTGTGATTTTGGCATCTCTATTTAAAAGCTTGCTTTTTCACTACAACATAGAAATTCGCAATTTGACGATCACTTGTGATAAAAATTTAATTTATTATTTTATATATTAATATTTCAACTTAACTTTCAACTTCCGGGCCAACTTGAGGCATGAGTTAGATAATAAGAGAAAAAAAAAATTTTTTTTTTAAATTCAGTTCATCATCTTTATTAATATATATACATACAATGGGCATATATAAAAATTAATTTTTTTAATAATTTATTTGTTAATTCATTTTCTTCAGGCACCACTTTTCCTTTGATAATTTTCTCTTATTAAGGAATGGCTTATTTCTTTGACAACATTTAAAGATGTTAGAGCTTTCTAAATCTCTATAAAAAATAACATGGGAAACATTCTGAAGCAAATTTGAATAAACAACCTATTAAAAATATATGTTTTTATTGATTAATTTGTCTAAGATACATAATCTAATAGATTACATGTCTACTTAGCCAGGTTATGTATCTAATAGGACTAGACTATGTATTTACTATAACTAGAGTATGTATTTACTATAGTGCAAGTCACTTAGTCGCTGAACTTTTTATTGGCTGTGTAGATCCTATATCCTCTCCAAAAATGGAAAT